TGCATGTCACTATTGACGAGGCGCTCTGAGCCGTTTGTTGCCCCCACACCTCGGTGTTTACACAAAACAAGGCCTGTTGAGATTCCCACAGGCCTTGTGAGAATGATCATGTCATCTTCTCTAATAGAGGGCGGGGCACAGTGTAATGGAAATATACTAATACTAAACGAAGTGGCTCTAAGTGCCGGATCTCTCCCGAAAGCAGTCGTCAGAAGATGGGAGCTTGAAGGCTTTTGTGTGGAGCTTGGCACCGTGCATGCTGCATTGTTCACGCAGGTTGGAGTGGTAACAAAATAGACCCTCCTCCCCTCTACCGGAGAACACAAACTCCAGCCGAACGCTAACTCGAGCGCTGAGTCATTTTATTCGCTGTCCCCATACGTGTAGTTCTAAAGTTAACCGCTTGGGGCGTCCGGGTTTTAACACGTGCCAGTGATGTTGCCACGCGCGTTGCCTAGCGAGAACGTGGCTGAATGGTTACCGCTCTTGGTACTGGCGCGGAGGCTCCGGGTTCGATTACAGGGGTGGACTGCTCCTTTATTTATTCTTTCAAATTGACATTTTCGTAAGTTCGAGAACCTTGTCATCTGATCGAGTTACGAATGTTCTACGCGCCGAACATTCGACTCCGAATCTTCCAGAAACCAACTCGGAGTACGAAGTGGCGGTCCAGAGTCAGTCTCGCTCTAGGGCTCGATCCTGCTGTTACGCCGACATCGACGCCTGCGACGCTAGCCGTTTTCTATTGTTTCGGGCACAAGTTCACCCCATTAAACATTTAGTTTCTTCAGTTATTCGCCGCCTCATCATTTGTCATTCGTGACAATATCCTGCTTCTCATGGTAAGACTGCATAAAATATCCCTATGATACTTTTTTTTTCCGTTTGGTGTTGTTGCGTGCTAATGAACCATTCTAGTAAACTAGATTTGCGCAGCTGTATAATTGTCGTTGTCACTACATCGATACATATTACGCAATGCGGAAGTATCTTCAAAAGTAATTGAATTACATTTCTAAGTATTAGTAGTCTTCTCAATATACTTTACAGTGAATGTAACCAGTAGTATTTTAAATACCTTATGAAGCAGGTGTTTAGTAACTTTACTTAAATGAATTTATTGAGTATTTTGTCCAACACTGACCTGGGCTGGAGGTGGAGAAGTCAAGAAAATTCAAAGGCGAATTAAGAGATTTTGAAATTGCGTCTCCTGGTGGTCTGTGAAGCTCCGTTGGAATTTCGTCGGGTTATAATTTCTTAAAAAGCAGCGCCAGTTCGTGGCAGTATGGCTCGCTCGTAAATTTGCTTAGTCCTGAATGTGACTTGGCGGGGAACGCTAACGCGTTTATCATACTCCGTCGCGTTTACCCATAAGTAAAACTACTTCTAAATTACCCAAACATCAAGGAGAATGCAGGGATTGGTGTTCCACATGCCAAACGCGCACGACTTTCCCTTATAAAGTTTCGAAGTAAATAACCAAAATAAAGCGTTGACGAACGCGCGTTCAGGATGCAATTTGTTTTAGGCTTTTGTTTTAGAAAAGTCACTACTGCTGATGCCAGCACGTGCGGCGCGTGGAACTGCGATCCCTGCATTCCCCTTGATGCTTGGGTAATTTAGCAATAGGTCTATAAGACTGCAGTCAAAGCTCCAAGCACGAGCTGGCCCGCGCCCCTGGCTTTCAAACATGTATTTCTAGCGCTATAGGTCGTTCTAAGGAAGAACGCTTCAAAGTGCAGCGACCTCAAGCTCTTGTGGTTGCGGCATGTTACGTTTCAAACCCCGGCGAGGCCGCACTCCCTCTATGGCACACTTAAAGGGACAATCCGCAACACCACCGCTCGGCAAAAACCATCTCGAAGACCGGTGACCAAGTCTTTCGAACATCGGCCGAAGTAACCAACGCCAATGGGTCTTCCACTTCCTCTTCCTCCAACATCAAGAGAAGCTGCTGGTGCGGCGACATAAACCTCCAGGACAATGAGAGTGGCTGTTAGACCTCCATCTTCATCAAAACCAAAAACCGGCACCAATCACACCAAAACCCCACCACTGCCACCAATTGTTAAGGGCTCGGGGATTGACATGTTTGAGACCGAGTTTGAACTATATGGACGACGATGTTTTAATGGGACATAACATGATGGTAGCGTTCGTTTGTTAGTCCCATTTTGTCTTCTCCGCGCGTGACCGCGGGTCGCCCTTTTAAATCCCCAGTGAAGCAGCATCGCCAAGTCACCGCGGCTATAAAAGGGGGACCCGCATCTCCACACCAGTCTCAGCTTAAAGGGGTCATGAAACGATTTTCCTACTTCTTCCTCCTTAGCTTTAATCTTCAACTCAAATGCGAATTGTGAAATCACGTCGTCGTGACATTCTTCGGCATCAGTGCGATTACTTTAGCTTCCAACGCGTTTTTTATGCACATATAGAACTTGTCATTCCCCAGTGACGATAAGTTCCGTAGGGGCACTCACTGGCCACGAACGCGAATCCGAATATTCGTCGACGGATTTATTGTTGACGAGCACATACGTCCGAGTGACGCAGTTCTCGTGTCCAATGCGTGAGCTGGGCTCGCCTGACGTCAGGTTGGCGCCGCTGACGTGCTTTGGGAACCGCGGATGTATCATAGTGAAAAGGCGGAGAGCTTTCGAAGGAAAGAAGGTACCAAATAATCCGCTATGTTTTCAAATCTTCGTACCGAAAAGCTGGCCTTTGACTTTCCACTTTCTTTCTTTTGGCCAACTAAACGATATGCGATTAGTAAAGTCCCAATTTAAAATCATTTATCCCAGCCCAAAATTTGTTTTATGGCACCTCTAAGGGGGAACGGAGTATGCGTTGCATATGTTATACCTTCCACAATGCTTCCGCAACGTGCATTCCACACCATCAAGTTCACCGTTTTTTGCTGTTGTTAGGAATAGGTACTTGATCTGAGGATGCGGCGACCTCTGCGAATCCAACCATACCCTCACAGCGCCCCCGGAGGCGCTGTGATTAGCGCGCTCTTATATGGCACCCAGTGAGTACCTTATATACAGAGCTTGCAGGTGTCGCCATTGCTGGGTACTGACGATTAGTTCTGGTTACTGGTTCCCTCTAGCTACTACTTATGCGGTGTGAAACTAACATGGTGAACCGAACGCTCGTGGCACATAAAGTAAAGGCGTTGCCACGAATGACGTTATGGGCAAGCTATGTATATAGGCCATAGGGCACACAGTCCTCGGATATTACTACTCGGAGAGATTGTCACGCGTTGATGCCACCAAGCGGTAAGGCGTGCAACTACAGTACCCTTGACTGTGCATTAACTTTTGACGCCACGAGCGCGACACACACTGCGCTTCTGGCTGGCCGACTTTGCAGCGAGGAGTAGAGATCTCGCCCTCATGCCCATTTCATTTCCGTAACCCTTAAATATCGTGCTGCGAATGTGCGATAAACTTTGCGCCTCGTGATTCATACGTCATGCGACAGCAGGTGCGTTCAAATGCCGTTATTGTTTTTGCCTCACATTTTTTCACTGTTTTCATGCTTAAAAACTCATTTACCATCGTATAATCTACATAGCACAGCACCGGTTAGTTTGTCGCTTCAGCCCGCCAGCTAAACGCGCGCCATACACACAAACACGCAAAACGGCGAGGACCAGAAACACTTTTTTAGCATGGTCCATTGCAAAGACGGGCTTTTGGTCAGTGCTATTTTCAGTGTTAATGCTTTTGGCTAGTGGTTTGATCTTTTATCGTTGCGATGAACAGGAACATCTGCGTTTGAGCTTTTAAGATAGCCCTCTCAGCACTAATCTTTGTGGACATTGAAACGATTTTTTTAGTATGTTTCACTTGAAGCGCCAGCGCAGCAGAAGCTTAAAGAGCGAGCACCGGGATTTTAGCACTGCTGCCAAGTATGCGCGCTCATGCAGTGCAAGCATTGATCAGGGCATCAGACTAGGGTTTACACAAAAAATTTAAACTCGACAGGACGTGAGGAGATGCAATCGTCGCGCTCCTGGCATCAACTTTGTCCCTGTGATTTAGCTCTGTCTTAATTAAAAATAGCAAGAGCAGGTGAAGTGTGCTTCTAGTAATTTACACTGCACCCTATCAAATATCTGCACCACTAGCTTTGCTTTTAGCGAAAGAAGACATATTAATGCAAACTAGTGATGGACACTCAATCGATTAACCTACCGATTATTCAATTAATGCCTTAATCGCGATTGTTTTTAACCGGCTAATCTGGTAAATTGTTACTAACGAAATAAGTACCAATGGAACGCTTTTATTACACAGACGTGGACGAGTACACGTATATTATAAGGTAAACTTTTGGGGAAATTTCGACCTGATGTGAATTGTAGAGGTGAGAATTGTAACTCCAAATATGTTGAGAAGGCTATACGTGTCCCAGAAACTTCCCCACCGTGCGAGCGTCTGTTTATCGCAGCAGAGTCTGCTGTGAGCAATCAAGAGATTCCGGCATTGCCGGAGAATATCAAGGAATCCCTTTGCCTCTGCGGCCGAAGTAATAATTTGTTAGCATGAGTGTATTTTGAATGCTCTCCAGTCTCAAATACACTTTATTTTGATTTAAAATGCGAAATTGTACATTGCCTCGTGTATCAGATATTGAGCAAATGCAAAAAGAGTAATTTGGACTTTTCAAAACTATTCTGCATGGGAATCATGAAAACCAATACATCGATTAATTAATCTATTAAAGGGTTTCGATTTATCGGGCTAACCATTTTAATAGGTGGCCAGAACTAATGCAAACCGTGTACGACAACGTCACTTAGAAGATATAGACTTCTGAAAAGAACTTTGTAATTCTCACTATAACTTTAACTCTATATCCACCTGCGAGAAGGAGAATGTCCTCTATCTCGCAGAAAGACCGAAAGCTGCAATGGGTCATTAGAAGTAAATTTATCGAACTACAAATTCGTAAACTACTGATTAGTGTGAGCTACTTGCTTACTTTACTCACCCTATATCGACACCTACGTCCTGGGCGGGCCATCCAGGCTCTTCGGGGAGTTCATATGGTATAGGTTCTTCTTGCTGCTCCTCTGCCATAGCATCCAAGAGCCTTATTTCCTCCATGGCAGCCACTTCCGCCTCCTGCGCTTTTTTCCTTTCCTCTTCCTCCCGTTTTGCGTTCTCCTCTCTCTGCTTAGCCTCCTCCTCTGCCTTCTTGGCCTCCTCCGCCTTTCTGGACTCTTCCGCCCTTCTCTCTTCCTGCGCCTTTTTGCGTTCTTCGACCATTCTAACCTGTTCCGCCCTTCTCTCCTCCTGCGCCTTCCTCCGCATCTCCAAAGCCATCTGCTTGTCTTTCTTTTTCTGCTCCTTCTGTCGTTCCTTCTCCTTCTTCTTCTCTTCCTTTTCTTTCTCCTTGTCTTTCTTCCTCTTCCTCTCTTCCTCGCTGCTCGATCCCCGTGAAAGGCGAGAATGTCGATCCAGCTGCTGATTCGCTGGACTCATGGCTCTCATCTGATTCATCAGCAACATCATGGTTCCCATGTCCTGCGCCGGAGCAGGCGGGGGAGGTGGAGGATAGGCTGGATAGGGATAGGGAGCGGGGGCCGGCGGGGATGGAATGAAGATGGGAGCAGGTGCTGGTGCGGGAGGCGGCGAAGGCATCGGCATGGGCATGGGCATTGGCATAGGGAAGGGCAAGACGATAGGAGTGGAACTTCCCTGGGAAGACGGGAGGAACATCACGTTTGGTGGAAGCGCAAGCTGCGTTGGAGGTGGGGGTGTCGGGGGAGTAGGCGAGGGGTAGGACGGGACGTTTGGGAACGAGATTCCTTGCGAAGGAGTGAAGGGAAATCCGGCACCCATAGGAGGCATTCCCGTGAACTGGAACGGTGCTCCTGGCTGAAAAGGGGACAATCCTGGAGGGAGAAAGGATGAAAAATTGGGTGGAAAAGAGGGGCATTCTGGAGGGTATGAGTTTTTGCAGGACTGGGCGAAAGCGAATGGCAACTGGGGATCGTCGTTTAAGGTAACAGGTCCTCCTGGTTGGTGCTGCTCGGGATAAGTCGCTGTTCGGGGCTTCGTGGCATGGAGCCTGGAAGACCGCCTATGACCGGACATCCGGCCGTTGACTGGTCAAGACCCTTCTACTTGTTCTGTCGTAGAGGCTCTGCAAATAGAGGGTTATTTTATTGCATTCGTAATATAAAATACACAGGCATATGATGCCCTCATAAAAAATAAATAAGTTAACAAATTGAAACACCAGGGGGCGTGGTCTTAATGCAAACGCTCTTCTTGTAAAAACATTCTGAATTAATTTTTTTTTTTGTTTACGGATATTCGCATTCCGCTAGCCTTCGCAAAACTATTGTTGCTTAGTGTACCTGGTTCCAGTGTAGCCTAAGTATTATGTGTAAAATACCATTCCGATAGTTCATGTTATTTCGAGTAGCTGAGACAAACTCTTTAATCAATTAAGGTACAAACGTCCCGAACGCATTGAAACAAATATAAAGTATACAAAGGTGGCCACAACCGTAGCTAAATTAAAATAATAATGCTAATAACATATTCGCAGTGCACAAATTCATAACGTGAACTGTACTAAAACTTTGACACTCATGTTAAGTTTAGTTTTCATAAGTCTAGGGCCGGCATGCTCACTCGACTTCATGTGAAGTGACCCCACGACTTGAAACTTTGATATCATTTCCCGCTTAACCTAACGGACATTAGGGAGTTTCAGTAGATGGATATCAAGGGTCCGCCAGCGCTTCGGGCGAGCGCTTCAGAGCATGCATCGAAGTGGCAGCGCGAGCTCTTGCTCCAAAGAGTGTGGCCTGAGAACACGCTCTACTAAAGCTCTCTATTAATGTCACGTTATGCTATTGGCCTCGGTATCGACCTAGTGGTGGCATTACTGTGCACTATCATCATCATCAAAGCGAGGATAGAAGCTCTGCCGCCCCTTAAGCTCTCCACGTTCGCGCCCGAGATGATGTAGATCATTGCGTTTATTTTGTCGCATAATATCGATGAGAAAACAATTTTAGAGGAAAATGATGCGATACCGTGTGGAGATCGAATCGTGCTACCAGCGTACGGTCTAAATATAAATAATCGCTCGTGTGGATGCGTCGTCTGCTTTAGGCAAACGTTCGGAAGCATGGATCTTCACGAAGATGCCTGCCTCCGGGTGAATTACACTATTTATGTTAACTATTTTTTTCCTTTCAAACAGATGTTTCTGTTCACCAGCGTGGGCATAGAACAAAACAATGAATTCCAACCCGTATGCCAAAAGACTGGTACTGTGGACTGTGAAACGGCGGGTTCCATGTTTTTTTCTTTTACTTTCAGCTTTTGCAGTATTGTAAATATTTATATATTTACATTGCTGAAGATAAGTTTGTGTTGTATTGCAAATGACCGTGCTATTGAGTTCCGGTGCAGCCACTGTTTCTCTTTACTGTGCCATGGTGTGGGTAAATTTTTCATAATCGGAACAATTCCACTACGTTGCCGTGAGAAGAGAGTGCCTCTTCTAGTTACGAGCCACAAACTGCACGTTGGCACGACAACTGAAACAAGCAAAACAAAGTGTTCTAATATATCTGCTGCGAGTGGAACAAACCAGTGTAACCGAGCAACGCAGTAGCGTGCCTGTTATGAGACTCATTTCTCGGTAGTGTGGGTTCCCCCACTTCAATTTTCTCGGTGAGGGTAGCGGATGTTAAAAGGCTAATATTATACATATATGGCTAAATAAACTTCTATTCATACATATTAGACTCTGAAATTAACTTCAAACAATTACCCGCATCACGGCACACACAGCATCGGCCGCAGCGACACTATCATACTGGTGAGGGCTAGCGTCTCTCACGATGCTCTGCAATCACACTCCGCCCTAACCTAACGCATATTGGGATTGGGCAGTTAATCAATTATCTTTCAGATTATTCGAGTGATGCTTTAATTGCGATTTTATATTTTTGCCGGTTAATAAAAACCTTGTGCTGGATAAGGTCAGGAAAAAGTGAAAAATGCCTCCTCTAATATTTCTAACGTAGTTATGTCTTTTACGACACAGTCTTGCACGGTATACCATTCAAGCATGCTTGAGATTGTCATCGAGGGTGATTATACTGCTTATATTATTACTTTAAAAAAATAATTTACTTTAAACTGCTTCCCGTGCTCATATTTCTTTAGGCGTCACAACGTCAAGTTTAAAATGTGAATGCAACATACCATTTATGACATTCTGAAAATAGTAAGAACAATCTGTAAATTTAACGTCATTCATCTAATTTGACTAGAAAATAATCATTTAACAAACTCAATAATTGATTAGTCTATTAAAGGATGGCGATCAGACGTGTGAATTGGTGTATAAGCCCCGAGCTCCAATCAAGATTCAACGTTTTATGAAAGCCATGAATTTGCCAGATATCAAAAAAGAATGTAAGACCAATAGTTCTACAAACAACAGCACCGAGATTATGAAAGCATCCCATTTAATATTTATCGCTTTGCTCAATTTCCACGCGCGTGACATATCTTACAACACAACCTCTAGAAAGAAGAAACAAGAAAATGTCAAACATTTATTAAGAACGGTCCAGCTCAGCCGGAAAGGTGCTTGTGTCGTCCGGATCCGTGCTTCTGAACGTGTGGCCGTAGCAGACGATGCACGGCGGTATTCTCGCTTTCGAATGCTTGCAAATTCGGCCGTACGGTGGCGACATGGTTCGATCTCGAGGCGAATATTAATTTTCCCTCGAAGCTTAGAAACTACACAAATTAGGGCACTGCTAATGTGCACAATACTTTGCCTCAAACTCTGATGAACTGAACCGAAAACCATGAGACTCCAGCTTCAATCACAAGTGAAATGTGATTTCGAAATGCTTAGGCGTTGTGTTTTCCGAGACGCTTAACTGGGATGCACAGATTCAACATACACGCATGAAAATGAACAAGATAATTGATGTGCTGTGTCGCCATAGATACTCGCTTCCGACAAGTGTTAAAATCCTCATTTATAATGCCTTTTTACTACCTATTATTACTTACTGTCATATCATCTGGGGAACAACCACAAAACAAAACAAACTCAAATTATTTCTTGCGCAAAAAAGGGCAGTAAGGCTGATTGCGAATGTCTCATGGTGCACGCATACCGAACAATATTTTTTCAAGTTCAGTATTATTAAGTCAACCTCTCTTTATGCTTTCAAATTGTTGTGTTTGTATAAGAGTGCTGTCGCGACTAACAATGATGTCCTGTTAAGTATGTTTAAACTCAATCGCCACACACCCGCATATAACATACGTCACAATATTGCTTGGTCATTGCCATTTTGCCGCACATCTTATCGCGCCCAATCATTATGTTATAACTTACCTCTTTATCTCAACATTTTTTTGCATAATAATATTTCTATAGAAACAACCCCCAAGAAAAAATTGATCAATGTCCTTCATCTGTTAGATCCACATTTTGCGTAAGAATTGTGTAACTGTTCCTTTCACTGAAATGTGCATAGTGCCCCATTACGTTGAATCTGTCAGTGTACTTTTTTTTGGAAATGTTCTGTTCCTGCCCACTGCTGTCGTGTGTAGGGGCGCAGGGGGCCCTCAAGCTGCACCACGCAGCTTTTTCCCTCGCGTCCCATCTCACAATGTAAAGTTGAGAGATAAATAAATTCAAATTAAAAAAAAATCAAATAACTAATAGAGTAACCGACAGCTTTAGAAACGCAGGGCGTTACGAGCAAGGAACGTAACATTATAGCTCCACAGCCAAGATGATTCCTGCATCAGCCGATAAGAACACCCAACAACCAATCACGAGGCATGAAGCGTTCATGTGACGTCGCTGGTGCGCCCAGTAGACAGCGGTATTCAGACAAATAGGGCTAGGTTCATTGTGGAGAGGGAACATTGCCAAGTCCTTGCATCTAGGCGGTGTCGAATATAAGGCCATCCTCGATTTTGCTGCTCTTTCACGCCAGTCATCTTTTTTCGGCATATCTATTGTTAGCAGCGATTAAACTAGAAACGTCGTGACTTAAAAAAAAACACATACACACATGATGATTGATAGATTGTTTCGAAAAAATTATGATATCATCTATACCGCTTTCGGCGTTGGCGACCATGGCACGTGATTTTTTCGACCGAAACGTGCACGGTGGGTCGGAGAGTTTCTTAAACTGAAATGCAATCGATTTGTTATCATCTCACTTTGAGGTTGCCAGAGAAACGGGGAACCCGGGCAGCGTGTGGAATGGCGACGATGATACGGGACATCCACACGTGGTGGTTCGACCGTCGTTTGATATATGTTCGGTGGATGCGACGTTTTCTGAGAAGGCACATGAAACATCGTGGGCAAAGCACCATGTCGTAAAGGGCCTATAAGACGAATTCTGGGCTGGCATAAATTAATTTAGAATGGGATTTTAGTAATAGCTTATTGTTTAGTGGACCAAAAGAGAGAAGGTAAAAAACCTCGAGCCTGATTTTCGGTACGAAAATTTTAAAATGCAGCGGACTACTTTGTACCGCCCTTTCCTCGTAGCTCTCTACCTTTTCACTGTGATACATCCGCGGCACCCAAAGCGCGCCACCCGGCCCAAACGCACGTCACACGACACCGGACTTCACTTATACCCGCCACCGCTGAGCTGACAGCGCAGTGTAAGCTACGCCCTTGCCGGACCAATCAGCCACCTCCCTTTTACCACCTGACTAAATTCTCTGCGAGTGAGTATGCGTGAGGGAGCGGGATCACGTGGCAAAAATATGGCTGGACCAACGAGCGCGTAGCTTCCACAGCACTGTGAGCTTCGGGGTAAACGGAG